TCACTTTACTATAGCAAATGATTGTGTTCATGTTTCTTTTTTGAAAACTTGCTGATAAAATTATAGAAAGATTGCTGTCTGGCATGTGGCTTATAGCAACTTTTGTTCTAGAGGCTTAAGAAGACACAGATACCACTTCCTAATGAATCTAGCTATCTCTTAAAATCCAGTTTGTCACTATGACTTCTAGTTCTGAAAAGGGTCTTAGAGGATAGGAGAAGATAACTTGGTTAATTTTTTTTTATATTTTTCAAATAAAAGAGTAGATTTGTAATTTTCCCAACACAAATAAATAATAAATTTTTGAGATGATGGATATCCCAATTACTCTGATTTGATCATCACACCTTGTTTGATTGTATCAAAATATCACATGTTCTTCATATATGTACAACTAGAAAAAACAATATCTCATTAATGAGAGTTAATTTCAGGTCAAATATAATGAAAAATGAAAAGTGGATTACCTGAGATCAGGAGTTGGAGACCAGCCTGATCAACATGGAGAAACCCCATCTTTACTAAAAATACAAGATTACCCAGGTGTGGTGGTGTATGCCTGTAATCCCAGCTACTTGGGAGGCTAAGGCAGGAGAATTGCTTGAACCCGGGAGGCTGAGTTTGCAGTGAGCCAAGATCATGCCATTGTACTCCAGCCTGGGCAATAAGAGCGAAACTCCCTCAAAAAAAAAAAAAAAAAAAAAAAAAAAAAAAAAAAAAAAAAAAAGACACATAGAAACTCTATGCCCTAAATGATGAAACAAATGCAAAATTCCAAAATGAATGAAAAAAAAAACATAAAGCCAAGATAATTCAGTGGAATGGTTTTATTAAAAATGTATCAAACAATGTAAAATAAGTATAATCCATATTTTTGAAATTAGTGATGACACAACTCCCTTATAAATGAAAGGACTTGTACAATAAAAACAGGCAAAACTAAATAAAGAACTTATAAATTTGTCTAAAAGTCTAAAATGTTATAAATAGTAAAAATTTAATAGAGGGGATGAACTTTAGTTTAAGCACAGGGAGAGAGAGAATTTATGAATTAGAAGATAATTTTGAGAAATTCATTTAAAATTCAATAGCAAAGTTTAAATAAAATATGAAAACATCTGGCAAGAAGGAGAAACTGATGGACTACAGTACGTTTTACAGGATTTCGAGAATAAAACATCAGAAAGAATAAACTACAGGCAATATATAAAAAGGTAATTGGCAAAACATCTCTAGTATTTAAGACCTTTGTGTTCTCAAATCAAAAGTTTGCCCCAATAACTTAGAAGAATAAACTTATAAACCCACCCCAAGAAACTTTATACTGAAGATACAAAAAAGCAGGAAAACCAGAGACAATTATAGCGATCAGAGAAAAGCAAATTGCCTGTAAATTAAAGGTAATTTAGTTGACAACATATAGCTTATGAATACCAAGACAAGAATTTTAAAATATTTTCGAAATAGTAATGGACAAATAATAACCTTCAAATTGTATACTTTATATAAAGTGTAAAATTTTATTTTTATTCATGAGAAAATGAATACAAAATAATATCTATAATAGTAAGAGACAAGAGTTCTTTAGCCACAGACTCTGACACAATAGGCTATTAAAAATATTTTTTGCAGGTATGAAAATGAACCACAAAACAGAAGAAATAAAATAGAATCAAAACTTCAGAAGCTGACATACTATTTCAAAAAACTGTCACCTATTGAATGTAAAAATAATCACTAATTTGTTTTGTCTTCAGGAAGATAGCATAATTAAAACTCTAACGATAATATGAGAAATTGGAGATATTTACTGAGTAATTAAAGCACGCTATGTTTGGAAGATGTGACATAAAAACAACCTAAGTGTCAATTCATAGACAAATGAATGAATAAATAAAGAAACTGTGGAATATATATTTACACATATACATAATGATATATTATCCAGCCTTATAAAAGAAGATCCTGCCATTTGCCACAATATGTATAAACCTGGAGGACATGATGTTAAGTGAAATTACCCAGACATGAAAAGAAAAATATTGCATAATCTCTGTATTTTAAAAAAGTATAATAAGCAGAGATAGAGAATAAAACAATGGTTAGTAGATTAGGTTCCTGATTAGATTAGATTCTCATGAGGAGTGTAGAATGTAGATCCCTCACATGCACAGTTCACAATAAGGTTCATGCTCCTATGAGAGTCTATTGCCTTCACTGATCTGACAGGAGGTGGAGCTCAGGCAGTAATTTGAGTGATAGGGAGCAGTTGTAAATACAGGTGAAGCTTCCTGGCTCACTCACTGCTCACCTCCTGCTGTGCAGCCCAGTTCGTAACAGGCCTTAGACTGGTACTGGTCCAGGTTTTGGACTCCTGCCGTAACATAATAGTGTATATCATAAGTATATATAGTAAAATTCATTTAAAAAATAAAGTTGAAAGATGAAATATTTTTGAACAAAAAATTAAATCTATGCAAATATATGAATGTATGTGTGGTACCCAGTGTGTGTGGTAAGTAGGTAATGCCTCCCTTTCCTCCCCTAACTTTGCAGGTTTTAACTGTAGGAACCTTTGAATATGTTCCTGCAATTAAGGCAAAAGGGACTTTGCAGATGTAATTAAATTAAGGATCTTGAAAGTGAGAGATATTTCTGAATTATCTGGTTGACCTAATGAAATTCCAAGGGTCTTTATAAGAGAAAGAAGGAATCAGAAAGGTAAGAGAAGGAGATGTGACACTGGAAACCAGGGGTCAGAAAGACAGAGATGTAAAGATACCATGCTGTGGCTTTGAAGATGGAAAATGGGTTTGAATAGAGATTCTTCCCTATAGCCTCCAGAAGAAATTCAACTCTGTGAAAACCTTAGACACATTCAAGCTTCTGACCTTCAGACCTATAAGATAATAAATTCATGTTGTTTTAGACCACTAAAGTTTATGGTGATTTGTTATAGCTGCAATAAGAAACTGAGGCATTTTAACTCACCACCCATTAAATATGGGCTAGGCATTATGATTTACTTCCAAAGAGTACAATAAGGAATTAGTAGTTGGGGGGAGGGTGTGGGAATAACTTCACAGTGAAGACATCAAACAAACATTCCCTCTGCTTGTGACCAAGCTTAACAAAACCAATAACAATAAGTCGTGTTGATAGCATGTACCCTTAGTATGATATAATAATAACAGCATGTAACCTCTGTGGTTACTTCTCCAGAGCCTGTATCTCCAATCTAATTATGAAAACTATTATGAGACAAGTCCAAATTTTAGGAAATTCTACAAAATATTAACCAAAAATCTTAAGGTCATCAAAAGCCAGATAAAAATCTTAAGGTCCCTCAAAAATCTTAAGGTCATCAAAAGCCAGGGAAGTCAGAGAAACTGTCCCAGCAAAGAGGAGACTAAAGATAATTGACAAAACAATGTAGTATTGTATCCTAAATTTGATCCTGTAACAAGAAATTAACATTAGATAAAAACTTAGAAAAAAATCCTCATAAAGTACCAGCTTTACTTAATAATTTATCAGTATTGGTTCATTAGTTATGACAAATATGTTATATTAATGTTAGATGATAACTATAGTGAAAACTCGGGTGTATATAAACTCTGTGTCGTGTTATCTTTGCAACTTTTATAAAAATCTAAACTATTTCAAAATGAAATGTTTATATACATACATGGCATATGAGATAAATACCCAAAATAAAACAAGGAAGAAATTTTGTCAATCATGTGTCATGCAAAAACTAGCTAAATACCATTAATGCAAAAATAATTATGTCAGATTTGGAAAATATAAAGAGTAAGTAATTAATAGGTATGAAGTAGAATAGCATATACACACACACATAATCACCTGAATGTTTATATAATTGTAGGCAGTATGAACTATAAAAATGAGTATAATGCTGACAAATTAAAATGAGAAAATAACGAAACCTCTAAATCAGTTAGATACTTCCATAGTAATACTTCATAAAATCCAACAATGGAACTACAGTGGTACATAATAAGAACTTGTTTCTCTCACAGATGTGGGTTGGCTGGAGATCAGCTAATTCAGGGTGAATTGGTAACCAGACCAAAGTTTGGTTGCAGAAGCCAGAGACAAAGTTTGTTGAGAGGAAAAGCAGTTTTAATCAGAGAGCCAGCAAACCGAGAAGACGGCCAACTAGTGTTCTAAAGTGCCATTTAAAATTTTGAAATGTATCATAGTGTTTATAAAGAGAAACTTGGTATGGGAGACATGCTGGAGATGTGTGGAGTACAGGGGTTATGTGTCTTGTTCCTATGGCTCTCGGGTAATCACACATCCAGAGATCTGGTTGATGTTATCCAGGATGGTGAACTAATTGCTTACAGCAGCCCCTAAGCAGAAGGATTCTGCACTGGGGACTCAGTTCTTGGTTTGTTTCATGATTATCCTCTTGGATTTCTTAAGCAAGATCATAATTAGATAAGCACGCATTGCCATAAAGAAATGTCTAGAGAAGGAAGTAATGGAGAGGTGAGAGTGGAAGGAAGAAAAAGTAAGTGGATGATTAAAGTATGTATTTAAAAACTATGGTAACTCATTACAGGTTCAGTGTGGCAGCTCTGTTTGAAGCTGCAATTACAGCTGAGCTTGCATTATACAGATAATCAAGTCTAGTGTTCTCCACAAGTGATCATTCTAGTAACAGCAGTTACCTGGGAGAAGCACTGTTCTTGGAAAGGTGAATAATTAAGGGGCAAGCCCCATTGTACAAGCCTATTACAAGCTCCTACTTATACAATATCTGCTAACATCACATGGTTTAAAGCAAGTCAAGTAGATAAAGTATCACAAAAAAATTTACTTCCCTCTACAGGAAGACCTACAAAGTTACAAACTCATGGAAATGAAAAGGGCAAATTATGGTTAGGCAATCACTCAATTTTCCATAACTTCCAATATAGCCATAGATGAGCTTACCTCTCTCTGAAATGCATAGTGATAGATTAACTCACCTCTCTCTGATGAAAACATACCAAAGACAAGGAAGTATTGAATACTGCAGTTATCAAACGACTTAATGGAACCTATAAAACATAACATCAAACAAATTTTGAACTTTGAGGTGGTATTTTTATAGTTCGGCCATTTATGGAGACATATAGAAATCAGCAAGTGTTAAACAATCAGAGTTCACAGGCCATTTTTACAAAGCAGTTAAACTATACAGCAACAATAAACAGAAAATTTGAAACCCCCAAGAAAACAGCTTCAGGAAACTAAAAGCGGATTTTCAGAAAGTGTTGTCACTAGCAAACCATATAATGTAAAAAGAGAAAAGTACAAAAACATTAAGGAGAAAAAGCAATAGTTTTAGAGAATATTGATATTTTAAATATGATTAAAATAAATTATATTATTTTAATTTCAAAAACAAAACAAAACATTTTTCTAGACAAAATTGAAAATTTATTCAAGAGGATATAGACAATATGAATAAGTAAAAAAAAAACACTAATAAAAACAAATCAATGTCCTCATATTTAATTGAGGACAATGCAGATACAAATTTATATGATAACATGAGGATGAAAGAAGATAATTCATAAAAGCTCTTAACTAAACTATTGGCACAAAGTATGTGCTTTACCAAAATATATCATTATTGTTTATTGTCACATGGGAGTAGGCCTGGACATTTGCACTCATAAATTCTTATTTTTTTTCCACACAGTTTCCTTCTTTCTTGGTCAAAGACGGTAGGCAGAAGTCCTTTAAGTCTCAGCCCTCTTGATCTTAGGTTCCATGGAATCTAACAGTGTCCACAGGCTTCACCATTCTGTTTTTGTTTTGTTTGTTTGTTTGTTTTAGTAACTAAATCAAAATGAAGTATCTTGTTCCTTTTTGCATTTGTCCCTATACATATTTAATCTCCCCCTAAAAATAAGTGGCAAATATGATTCTTGTGTACAATTCAGGGATTCATCAGTTCTGGTACCATAACTGCCAATACTGTCAAAGTTACACACTGGTTTCTCACAGCAGAAGCACATTGCTATCGGCAAACACATAGCCAGAGCCACTGGGCCGGAGTAAAACAAAGTGCTTATCGTGGTGTTAGGAGGTAAAGGGAGTGTTTCTCTCTGAAGGCTTCCTACAGTACATTTTTTTTTTTCAGGGGGGGAGAAAAAAACATTATGCAGTTATTTGGTAAAAAGAACTACCATCACGTTACACTGTCTGGAGAAAGTTAAAACATAATGCTATTTAAGAAACAGTCCAGAAAGCAAGAAATAATGATAGTCATATGTACAACATTCTCCTTAATGTTTATAAAATATAATTAGATTTAAAAATAATTATTTTATCTTCAATATAATTATATTCATATTACATGTTATATACTGTATATAACTATAAATATTTTTGTATTATATAAGTATAATTCAGACTATTTGAGTCTCTTAAATATATGGTTACTATATGTTTGTTCTCCTGACCCCAAGCCTTAACAGTGATTTAATGTAGACTAGAAACAAGGACTGTCTTCCAAAAAGGACATTAACAATGATAAGCTGGGAAGGTGATGAATCACACAAATTTGGTTTTACTGCTTCAAAAATATGCTTAATAAAAGGAATCAAACACTATCTTCTTGAAAAATTACTCTCCATTGGGTAATTAACTATGAGTTGACAGTTCTAGCATCCAGGGTTATTTGTAATTTACTGATTTATTATCAATTTTTCTTGCTGGTACAATCACTTCAAAAAGCAAAACCTCAATTTGATCATATTTAAAGTCCCAAAGGTACCGTAGTCATATTATAGTTTATCTTAGCATGCCCGATTTTCACACCAATTATTCGGAGCTACATTTTCAATCCAACATGAAAAATGTCCATAGGCCATATCAGTTTTTAGTTGTCTTTACCTTATCTAGAGATAAGACCCACCCATGTGGTTTTAGAATTACATTATGTAAGTGACCATGTTAATGAAGCAAGAAGTCAATTCTATCCATTTTAAAGCTTTAACTGGTAGAGTTTGTTCAAGGCATTTAAAATGTTCTTTGCTGTTTGAGCAAAGGTAAGCTATGGAGCATGTTACAAATAAAACATATTAAGTAGAAATAAACTTTTTAAGAAAGAAGTTTAAATGCAGCTAAACTATAGTGAAGGAAAAAACTTTTAAAGCTACCCTCAAGATTTCTGTAAAAGATTTTAAATTTGTGAATACAAATACAGTGGCAGGCATGTCTGTTTCATGTTATTATATGATCATTATTATTATTGTATTCTTGCTAAGTATATCTAAGAGTTGCTCATAGCATGTCTTTTTTTTTAGTATAATATAAAGGTGTCATTTTGATCCTGGGAAATGTGATACAAAAGCTTTGCCAACATTTGAGTCAAATGGTAAAAAATTTGTAATTCATGTGATCACACTTTCACACGGAAAAGAAAGGCAGTTCAAAATCTTGACACCAAGATGAAACATGAAAAATCAACTCAGGATATGTTGATGTATAGTAAAAATTTATTGCATTATCATTTGCAATTGGAAGACAGATATCCTGAGAGTAGTATATATACTAGACAGTTCTGACAATATTTCTGATCAGTTTCTTTAGAAATGTAATGTGTTATTTTAATTAGATCACGAGTTTGTTCTATGATGAACCAACACACAGATTGGTATTATCTTCTATATTTCTCTACATTGGAACATCTGCAAAATATGGAAGTATGAAAGACAATTTATGAAATTCTCGTGGAATAGGAACATAGAAGTGATTGTGTCCAAGCACATGAGTGTATGAGATTTCGTGACAAAGCTTTCTACAAAGAAAGATGTTTTATGAAACCAACAATGCCTGAATAATATCAAGGCTCTTTATTGATCTTTGGGAAATACAGGTTACAAAGAATGTTTTTTTTTAACATTTGTAAAATGAAGAAAGAAAGTCTTAACTTACACTGTTGATAATAATGCACCTAGCATCCCTATGTTAGTAACAACATCTGAAGTTCTAAAAGCAATGCTTTTCTATTAGAAATCCTTTATAATATTGGGTGATAAATGTGTAATTTTCTTTCACATTTAACAAAGCCAAATGTCTAATCTTTCAGTGACTTAGTAGATATTGTACTTCAGAAAAGAGATATATTTATTATTGTAAAGATATTTTGCAGAGAGATAGGCAAGAAAAAATATATGAAAACAACTGTTTGTCTACAAACAACAGATGTGAGACACTTCTAACTTATTACCTGAATCAGTAATATCCAGGCTTAAGAATGGTATTTAAACCATACTTTGCATTTGCTTATACAAATAAACTATTTCAGTGGAGCATAGATAGCTATCTGATCATAATTAGAGTCAGAATTTTTTGTATCCACAGACTCAGGAGCTACAGGTGTATATCTATTATACCCTGTTTCTCCACAGCATATGTTTGTGGTTGAAATGGACAATGAGAACACATGGACACAGGGAGGGGAATATTACACACCAGGGCCTGTCAGGGGTTGGGGGGGTAGGGGAGGGATAACATGAGGAGAAATACCTAATGTAGGTGACGGGTTGATGGGTGCAGCAAACCACCATGGCACATGTATACCTGTGTAACAAAACTGCACGTTCTGCACATGTAACCCAGAACTTAAAGTATAATAATTAAAAAAAAAGAAAGAAATGGAAATGTGGAGTTACTGGATCTCAACATAGCAAGCTAGCAGATAGATATCTGTCAAGAAAATATTTAAATGTTCCATCGCAGTTCTGCTGCTTTGGACAATGCACCAGTGAATGCTGTAATAGCATGAGATGTTAGATGTAATGGTGCAGCATATTACAGTGGGGCTAAGTTATTCCAATAAAATTTTAGAGAATGAGACAGGATATTACAGGCACTGGAGATGGTTTTCTTTGAGAACCCTATAACTGGTTCTTATTGGTTATCCAGGTAAATTCATAACAAAATTAGTCCATACCAACTTGACATTTTTCATGCTCTTTGACTAAGGACTAACTTAAATGTCTCCTAAAATTGAAATTATGATTCTTTTATTTCCATTTCAATTAATTTATTTTTATGCATTTCAACGTTTTCTTTTCACATGCCAAGAAATATTTTCTCATCATAATTTTGTTGAATGAGTAAAAAACAGTTGAATGATCAAATAATAGGAGTGTGAGTATCATTATTCATTACATCTTCAAGGTTCTAGGCTGTAAAATCCATGAAGAATTTGCCATAAATAGTGAAACACCTAGCTGTTAAGGAACATCAGTGTGAAATATTCTGCAATCTGGTTATGTGACAAAATTGACTATTTTTTTACCTTAATTGACATGATTGCTTCATTGCTATGTAGAAACGGACATATTTTCTCAAGGTATACTGTTCAGGAATTTGCAATTTTCCCTATCTACTTAAATAATATTTGTTTCAAATTCCTTAAAGACTAACTCTCTACTTTTGTAAGGCTCTCAGCATTTTAACTCATGTTTATTTATGTACATAACATCTTCCTCTCAAAATTGAAAGGATTTCACATATAACATCTATATCTGTTTTATTATTTTAAAGTCAACACTGCCTTACAGCACCTTGAAGAAGGAAAGGGAAGAGGGAGCAATATTTTGCTATGCATTTGTCAGTCCATGAAATTCTCTCTACATTTAGTCTCATTGTAATAAGGATCAAATACCTGACATCAGGAGATGCACAATACTATTGCCATTATACACAGAGTAATTCGTTAGTTACACAAAGAACAGAGTCATTATTTTCCAATAAAAGTATACTTTACTTTGTCTTTTATATTTGGCCTACCCTTGTTATCTTTAAAAGATACTTTTTGGAAAAAAATAATGCCAATTCATTTGAAAAGTAATAGTAATCATGGCTAGTTTAGTATAGACAACTTTGTCAAAAAATGTGTGTATTTTCTTTTAAATAAATGGTATTTTTCTAAGAACAGATACTGAGGTGAAGTGAAGTTTAGTTCTTTTATTCATTTTCCTATATGTTTTAAATTAATTTCTAATAGAGAATCTGTACCGTTGTGCTAAATTTT